ACCCATGAGGGTCTCGCACGATCGGTTAGCATGCATGCAGTCATGATGGATGTTGCATTTTATATGGAACTAATATATAACGTTTGGAATGTCTCGGCCAATCAAAAATACGGAATTGTATGAAGGCTGGTTGGACGGCTGTTTTAAAACGTCCAGCGGCAAATTAAATGCATATTCGGGACGAATACATGTTAAAGTAATATTTTTCCTGTATGAATAAAAAACACTTACCCTTCCGGAGCACCTGAGATCACTCCCGGTTTTTGGTGCATGGGTTCATGTTACTCAGTCTTTTGCCAGTTTTTCTATGTTGTGTTTTGTGTACTGTTGTTTGTCTTTTCGTCGTTTTTCGTGTGTTTTTTTCATGGCATTGTAGTTTGTTTTCGACTTACGAGTTTGAATATCCCTTCCATATCTGTCGCCTCTGTTTTGTTTTAGACCGACACGCTGAGTCGGATATTAACGTGCTAGTTTACAATGTAACAGACCGCAGCAAGACAGCTAGGTAACCCTTCCGGTGTCTTCAACCTATGCCAACATTTGAAAAATATATATTCAACCTATGCCTACAAACAAAACACAATAGGTGTTGTTATAACAATTAATAATTAATTACAGGTAAAATACAGTCAGTATTTTAAAGCTTTAAAACTTACTCCTTAAGAATAAAACAACAACAGTTAAATACCTGCAAAATTATATTGCAGTCAAAATATGATATATGAAAAAAAAGATAAAAATATTACAATATACACTCTTGTTTGGTAAAATACTTCCAAAATTTTGTTGGTCTAGATATGCAATTAAAAATAAATGGGGAATGTGTCCATGGGACACAGATGATGCCCCCGCTTGCATTAGGCCATTCCACATAAAGTTATAAAGGGACATAACTGAAGAACAGTAAAAGTGACGCTACCCAAATTTGTACTTGATCTGAGTTGTGTGATAATAAGCACAGATATACAAGATTTGCTCACTTATGACTTGTTGCTGAGTATCCAAGCTAAAAAGTGTATTGAATCTGATGTATCTAAATTGAAATTTTTGGTAACCATAGTATAAAAAATGGGCTTTCACTAGCTAATTTTAACAGAGCTCTTTAATTCAGTATGATATCTATGTCTTAGAAACATAATTCTCCATTTAATCATACAATATTTTATAAAAGAATAGAAATCTATACACAGAGAATTACAATTTGCTAAGCACATATGAGTAGCGGTATAATTATATTAATTTACATAATATGTATAAACAATAATATTCAGATTTGGAAAGGCCAGACATGTCCTTTCTAGAAAATATCTTTCTAGAATATATGATATTCGTAACGAATACTACATCCATTTATCAGACTATTCAAAAAGAGAGGCGAAAGATACCAAAGGGACATTCTAACTCATAAGTCGAAAATAAACTGACTAAAAGAAAAAGACCAAAAGACAAACAACAGTATACAAAATACAACATAGCAAACTAAAGACTGAGCAACGCAAAACTCACCATAAACCGGGCGTGATCTCAAGTGTCTTACAGTATTATCAGATATATTTTTATATGTGTATATATATTGTCGTGTGTTGATGTGGTTCATAATTGTTTCTCGTTTCTCGTTTTTTATATAGATTAGACCGTTGGTTTTCCCGTTTGAATGGTTTTACACTTGTAATTTTTGGGACCCTTTATAGCCTGCTGCTCGGTGTGAGCAAAAGCTCCGTGTTGAAGTCCGTACTTTGACCATAATGGTTTACTTTTATAAATTTTGACTTGGATGGATAGTTGTCTCATTGGCACTCATACCACATCTTCTTATATATATATATATGTTTCTGGTATAATGGTGTAATAGGGAACATGGTAAAATTGTATTTAATTCTGATGTCAGTATTTACGAAATATGTGTTTTTGTATAATAGAATACATGGAAATGTAGAAAAAAACACTATTGTAATAAGAAGTAACACAAATATATACAAAAACACAATTATTTCATAAATTCTGAACTATTAAAAAATACACTTTTCAATGTGACGCAGATTTTAAATAATGCTATATTCATTATTTCCATGCATTTGATGTGATTCTACTTTTAGAAAAATATCATCAAATATTTTCATCATATATTGTATTATATTCACATGATACTGGTATATCCTGAACATGCATGAAATATTTGCCACTGGACGTTCAGCAATCTTCAACCATCAATTGTTTTATTATGTTAATTTCTAATACAAAAGCGATCAGCAACACATAGAGTTGCCTTCATTTTGACTATTACAAGTAACAAAAATAGTTTTGGGTACACTTAAACGCCAATTTTATACTGGTTGTAAATTGATAAACCCTTGATTAGTTTTTGTTTTTATAACACTTAATCTGTTATATTTTATTCAACCTATGCCAACATTTTTTCATACAATTTAATACCTAAATTTCAAAATGTTGGCATAGGTTGAATGAACCACCCTTCCGGACACATTATTCTGACTAAGAGCAGACCAGTATTTGCTCGTTTTCCCTAATGCTATCAAGTTATTAGAATCAATAACAAAGAGTCATTGAGTTTTATGAAAATTGAAAAAAAAAATATTTATCATAAAAATATTTTTTTTAACTGATGAATAGACTTAGTTTTTCTTTAGACACAGTCTTGACATAAAGTATTTTAAGAAATCAATTATACTTTGTCAAACCTTCATAGAATTAATTACACGAAACTTAGGCAGCAGGTTTTTGTGATTAAGAGAAGATGTTTTTTTTAATTATTAGAATTTTAAAATATCTTGGGTGTTGTTTTTTTTGTTGTTTTTTTTTTTTCATTTTTTCCCATATATTCGTTAAGCCTGTGACATTTATGTCGCGAAAGCGTAAATAGCGATCCAGATTAAAAGATATTTCTGTTCCTTTTTCCGTATTTTGCTGATAAAAGGTTTTTTTTTTTACAGATAACCAGTAGATAAAGTCTGGGGTTGTTTGTTAAACATCAATTACTTTGTAAAACCTTCATAGAAGCATTTTTATGATTAGAAGATAGTGTCTGAAGCTAAATTTTGAAAAATATATATATATTTTTTTCTTTATTTTCAATATTTCACTGATAGATGGACCTAGGTTAATTTTTGCCGTTAACATTTATATCTGGGATTAAATTATTTGGACATGATAAAAGTGTAAGTCTTCATGGATTGTTATGAAACTTGGACCGAAGCTTATCTTCAAGTCCAAAAAATAGCATTTGATTTTTTTAAAATTCTGTACTTAACTGATGAATAGACTTAATTTGTACAGTCAACATTTCACTCAGATGCGGATGTAGGATTTTGATAAAGGGTCATGGGGGCCCCCAAATAAGTCAACTTTCGGCCGAGTGGAAAGGGAAAACAATTTACATAAACCATAAATGTAGCTCCAAAAGGGTGGGCCTGGAACCCTGTCCCCCTCCTAAATCCGCCTCTGACACCTTTATACTGACAGTAGTAACCACAGGCGAGACAAAGCCTCTGGTTCCGTTGAACCCTTTACATATTGTAAACTTAATTACCTAATTAAAGATGTTATTTACATACATTCAAGAGTCAAAACATCTACATGCATGTGATAATGTTAGAGACAATCACATTCCATATATTTGGTCTGTCTCAGCCAATAGCTAGATATACTGTTCCCAGGCTGATATGAGTATTTTTCGTAAATATTTTTTCAGTCCATTAGCTATGCTAATAGTATCTCCACCAACATAAGGAATCTTATAAATAACATTTTCTGAATATTAATATTTTGTGTACCTGGCGTAATTACTACTAAAGTAATTTAGAAAACAAAATTCTTGATATGGTTTTATTTCCCCAGTTTCGACCGGTTTCGTGTTCCTTAATATTTGAATGTTGTTTGATTAATATTTCTAATATGTTTTGTGAAAGATATTATATATCATAATGTTAGGTTTATAAGCCAACAGATTGGTAAAATTGAAATGGTATTGCATTGGTGCATTAATTCACGGTATTGTAATCTAAGTTTTGTTATATAGATATAAGAAGATGTGGTATGAGTTCCAATGACGCAACTCTTCATCCAAGTCACAATTTGTAAAAGCCGGTAAACCATTATAGATCATTCAAAGTACGGCCTTCAACACGGAGCCTTTGCTCACACCGAACAGCATTAAGCTATAAAGGGCCCCAAAAATGACTATTGTAAAACAATTCAAACAGAAAAACCAACGGTCTAATCTTTTTAAAAAACGAGAAACGAGAAACACTTATGAACTGCATCAACAAACGGCAACCACTGAACACCAGGTTCCTGACTTAGGACAGGTGCAAACAAATGCAGCGGTTTAAACGTTTTAATAGGCGCCAACATTCACCCTACCTGAAACAATAGTGTAAAATCACAACATAGAAAGACACACTATAAAATATAAATTGAAATAGCTTAACTCAATCAGAGGACATATCAACTTGGTGGTAGTATGTCAAACAATTGAAACCTTTAGAGATCACTGGGTTGACACCAACTGTTCTCCACAACATAAATTAACTCTATAAATACCAATGTGCATATTTTTTAATCACTTGTTGTCTCTATTTCATGTAAATATCACCATTCAAGTATTCTACAAATTTAAAATGTTTGTTCAACTATATTTTTAATCACATACTCCGCGCATGCAACAGTTCCGCAGGGCGTAATCTTCAATATAAATGAAGCTGAAACTGTATATCAGAAGAAGAAGAAAAACAAGTGAACATACACTGAATACATTTATATAATGAAATTGTATTATCTTGAGTGAGTGAAGTTATCTTTTAAACCATTTGCATCGTGCTATCCAGGCCTATAGTTAGAATCTTCGCTAGCTAAGGTGTACTACTGTAACATATTTTATGTCCGTTCTTTTTGTTTTGTGTTATAGGCCTAGGTCAATAGTTTTTGGTTTTATGTTGTATCAATTTTCATTCACACACTTCCGGAATAAACAAAACAAAAGATTTTAAACTGTCAAAACACGCTGGAATTTTAGTCCTTTAAACTTTTAAACAATGAAATATATAAATTTTGGTGAACTCAGATCATGACTTCAATTATAGAGTATTTTAAAATGAGTCGATTTAGGAAGCTCGTGTTTTTTATTACAATTATAGCATTTGTTGGAATTTTTCTTTTATTCCAAACTGGAAGTAAACATAACACACGTAAAACCGATGTAGAGTCTATGTTTTTTGAAGAAAATTTTGATGATACCGACTTGACTGAAGAAGAAAAAAAGCACAGAAACATGCTGAAAGATGGAAAATTGAATATACCAGAACTTGGCCTAAATTTTATAGAAAACATGGAACACAATAAAAAGGTGACTGAAACAAGGGGTGTTGACTCTGAATTGTCTTATTTCACTACCTAATATGATGCAGGTGTTATCTTTGGAAGGGGATGAAGTCAGCAAAATCTTAAGGATACTTAAGGATATCCTGTTAACAGCAGATTTATATATATCAGGGAGTCCCTGATACCCACTTCCCTGCCCTTACTCCCATATCCCCCCCTCATACCCAGTAATGGCAGTATCAGGTCTGTTTGCTCCCAATACACATTCGCCCTGTGGGTCTGTTTGCACCATATTTTTATATTCAAATATTTGATATATTATTTTTCAGATGTATATACATCTGTATATCAAATGCTCTGTATCGCTGTATTACAACACCAAATAAGCATATATATAGAAATATTATATATGTTGGTACCTTCAATCTTTTTTACACATGGGAATAAATGCTCTCTAGGTACTTATAGCTGACATGCAACACCATAACCACCTAAATTAACGTGATTTGTGGCCTGGTTTCTGTGTTATTTGTTGTTGTGGCAAAATCATTGTGACCAGTTTGATAGCAAAGTATTAGATGAATAAACTTTTCCATAATCATCATGACAATTACTTATTATTATTCATTTCGTCAAAATAATTAATAAAACAATAAAGGAAACCTGTTTATGTTTTTAGAATGACACTTTATTTTGAAACAATAAAATAAACTTATTTATATAGCAACACACTAACTAAAACATGATTAAAAAAATAATCAACACAAAACCATTAAAAAAGGGTGGGACCGTGCGCATGTGTGGGGTGCGAACGAGAATGGGAGCGAACAGACCCGGATTCCCCATACGCTCACATCCTTCCCATTACTCCCAGATGAAAATTGATCAAAAAAATTTACCCAGAATATCAATATTTTAACCCCCTTCTTCTCCCAGTTCCCACCCCCTCATTCCCATGTTCCCTTAACCCTGTCCACCACCTCATATGTAACAATTTATTGTACGTTGAAAAAAATCCCTGCATAATTTCTGGTGAAAAAGTAACTGAATTACAGAAAGGTATGCAATGTTTGTCAGATGTCCTATCGTTAGGAACTTTATATACATGTACATGTATGACGTCATTTTCATTGTAAACAAAGAAACATTATCTTGAGGTAGTAAAGTAAAGTTTAATTAAAAACATAATAATCTATACCTAAAAACAATGAATATACATGTACAAAGACGGCTTATTACTGATCTTTGTACATATACAAATTTCTGTCCGATTGATCTGAGGTGAATTTTCCCAGAGAACTCATTTTATTTGCAACAAAATCATATGTTGAATAAGCTCTAGACTCATTTTATAATGTACATAAACAGAATAAATGCAAAATGTTGTCCTCATTATTCTTTTTGGTAATCAGTTATACAGATTCGTAGGAAATTGTATGACTTACAACATGGCAGCATCTGTCAATAGAACAGGAACAGGGTTAATGTGCATGCTCAACTGTTAGAAAAAAAAGTTAACAATTTTGAGGCATTAGCATATTGATTTTTTTATTGATTTTCTTACTGTATAAATAATTTGGGAGTAATTTATTAATCTTGCAAGTTTTCTATCAACCTCATTTTGTTTCCAACTTCGATAATATGCCAGATGGTTGACTGAACTGTAATTGGAAGAAGAAGGACACTATTTTATGTTTGTAGACATAAATTTACAAAAAGATTGGGGAAACCTTAGGAGCTTTTAGCATTTTTGTGACGGGTGAAAAATATAATGATTGCAAATAATGGCTTGATGCTAGACTATGGAAAGCATATGTGGTTGGGGACATGTCTTTTTTTAGCTCATGTGAGCTTATGCCATCACTTGACATCCGTTGTAAACTATTTCAAGAATCTTCTCCTCTGAAACTACTGGGCCAAATACCTTCAACCTTTAACTGAATGCTCCTTAGTGTATCTAGTTTATAAATTGTATCCGAAGTTTTGATCTATCAACAAACATGGCCACCATGGCTAAAAATAGAACGTTGTTCGCTTATATCTCAAAAACTAAAGCATTTAGAGCAAATCTGATAGCGGTCAAAATGTTAAATAGGTCAAGATCTATCAGACCAAAAATTTTCATACGAATGGAACAACCTATTGTTGGGTTGCTGCCACTAAATTGGGAATTTTAATGAAATTTTGCAGTTTTTGGTTATTATCTTGAATATTATTGAAGATAAAGATAAACTGTAAACAGCAAAAATGTTCAGCAAAGTAAGATCTACAAAGAAGTTTTTATATGACTAAAATTGTCAATTGATCCCTTAAGGAGTTATTGCCCTTTAAGGACAATTTTATACAATTTGTTCATCATGTTTGCTAACATTTAAAATCTTCTCCTCTGAAACTACTGTGCCTAATACTTCTAAACTTTAACTGACTGTTCCTTAGTATACCTTGTATATAAAGTGTATCTGAAGTTTTGATCCATTAACAAACATGGCTGCCATGGCTAAAAATTGAACATAGGGGTCAAATGCAGTTTTTGGCTTTTATCTCAAAACTATAGCAGTTAGAGCAAAAGTGACTTGGAGTTGTTAAAGTGATGAATAATTCAAGATCTATCTGCTATGAAGTTTTAAGACCAATTGGACCACCCATTGTAGGGTTACTGTCCGAAATAGTTTTATATGAAATTTTACTGTTTTTGGTTATTATCTTTAAAAATTATAATAGATAAAGAGAAAGTGTAAATAGCAAAAATGTTCAGCTAAGTAAGATCTACAAATAAGTCAAATGATCAAAATAGTCAATTGACTCCTTAAGGAGTTATTGCCCTTGAAACATTTATTTTTTACTTTTTTTTTGTGCAAGTCTATTACTTTTTCAAAAATCTTCTTCTCTGAAACTACTGGGCCAAACACTTAAACTTAAAAAACTTAAAAACTTTAATTGAATGTTCCTTATGGTATCTAGTTTATAGATTGTATTCGGGGATTTGATCCATTTAAAAACATAGTGGCAGTTTCTAAAAATAAAACATAGGGGTTAAATGAAGTTTTTGGCTTTCATCTCAAAAACTAAAGCAGTAAGAGCAAAACTGACGTAGGTGAAAGTGTTAAACAGGTTTAGATCTACTTGTCAAGTAATCTTCAGACCAATAGGACAACTTATTGTTGGGTTACTGTCCAGAAATAGTTAAATTTTAGGAAATTTTACAGTTTTGGGTTATGTATTATCTTTAATATTATTATAGAAAGAGAGAAAGTGTAAATGACAAAATTGTTCAGCAAAGTAAGACCTACAAATAAGTCAAATGCCTGAAACTGAAATTACAGCCAGGTGAGCAATATCAGGCTCTCATGAGCCTCTTGTTATTATCATTATTATTGGGTAAAGATTGCATGAAATGCAATCAAAACCCTATGGTACTGACTTGATTTCTAAATCTTCCAAGGTTTATCACTTCTTTTGAGATACACAAAATATAGTCCATTGATCATAACATTCTAAACATCCTATCCATGATCATTTTCAGAAATTTATCAATGAAATATATGCTCGGATATTCAAGTTATAAAATGATGTTATACTTGTCAAGAAAGTTACATAACTTGTGCAAGGTGCAGTAAACTAATATCTGTTCTAAAAATATCAATGATGTCATTGTTAAAGAAATCTGTAAAATTGGAGTTATCTTCCTTTGTCTATATATAATTGTAGTTGAATCCACTACAACCAATGATTTTACAATGCAATGTTTAATTTTACTTCCCACTAAAGCAATCTTTACCCTTCAGTGCTTACAAGCACTATGCTTTGGTTTTAGAGATGAAATTAGCATTTGAATTGACAGAAGAAGTAAATTAAGAAATGATTACCATCTTAGAATGGATAAATAACAAATACATTTTAACTATTTAAATCAGCATACAATAATTATTGATAAAGTTTGAATGCACAGCATAAAACACAAACAATTTGAATTTAATCTTGTGTAACCACATTTACCAGCGGTGGGTCCAGCCATTTTTAAAAAGGGGGAGGGGTTCCCAACCCAGGACAAAGGGTTCCAACCATATGTCCCCATTCAAAAGCATTGATCGTCCAAAAAAGGGGTCCCCCCCCTGGATCGGCCACTGATTCTGAAAGTTTTTGGTAAAGACTGAGTAACTAGATTTATATTAATGTATATTTTTAAAGAAACTCTTAAGATAGATGCTGACATACATATAATATACATTATTATGATATAATGATTATTTCCTATCAAAAGGTCATGTACAAATAAGTGCAAATTTTATATTCATAGTAATTTGTGAAGAGCTGCAACTCCGATTTATATACATTTACACTGAATTTTATTTCTTTTTTATGTTTCAGAAAGCTACCACAACACCTAAACCACCATTTAAGCCAGAATTGATGTTGATGAAAAATCCTCCAATATTTCTCACAAAGAATATGTCGGATGGTATGGTGGAAGAGAATTTTTTTAAGTAAGAGTTACAGGCCTACTAATAATGCAATAAGTTTTGCTTCTATAATAAGAATGATAATATGTACTAATGTCGTTTGTTGCTGTGTAACATATTTGTTTTTCATTCATTATTTTGTACTTAAATTAGGCTGTTAGTTTTCTCATTTGAATTGTTTTACATTTGTCATTTCATGGCCTTTTATAGCTGACTATGTGGTATGGATTTTGCTCATTGTTGAAGGCCGTACAGTGACCTATAGTTGTTAATTTCTGTGTCGTTTGGTCTCTTGTGGAGAGTTGTCTCATTGGCAATCATACCACATCTTCTTTTCATATTAAATCAAGGGATAAAAGCCTCTGGCAGCCAAGTCTCTTTTTGACTGGATCAAATTTTGAAGCATGAAAACTGACCACTTGATGGATAATATAAATGTATTCAAAGACTTCAAGTTTATCAGCAGTTGTTAAAACCAAATGTCACTTGATTTGCAAACAAAATAAAGCCAAACCAAATATGATTTTTAAAGAACACATCAAGTTATTGGGAAAAGAGCACTTAATTGAGGGCCCAAAATTGACATCTTTACTGATAGATGTTTGCATAAATATGTCTAAGTTCAAAGATTACAAAGGAATAGTTTGAAAAATTTGGACTATGTGGTATATTGTTTTTGTTTCAGATACTTGGAAACAAAAGATGTAATATGTAAAAATGATGAGAGAGTAGGGTTTCAACATGATGGCGGATGGAATGTTTGTATGTCTCCTCCTTTTGGATTTCATGAACCATGTATTGTGTACTCTTTTGGGTAATTATACATCTATTGTTTATACCATGTTTACGTCTGACATGGCATATTTACCTTTTTTATGCCCCACCTAGGGGCATTATGTTTTTAAGTCTGTGCGTCCGTCCATTCGTAAGTCTGTTTGTTCGTCTGTCCCGCTTCATGTTAAAGTTTTTGGTCAAGGTAGTTTTTGATGAAGTTGAAGTCCAATCAACTTGAAACTTAGTACACATGTTCCCTATGATATGATCTTTCTAATTTTAATGTCAAATTAGAGTTTTGACCCCAATTTCATGGTCTACTGAACGTAGACAATGATAGTGGGAAAAATCAACAAATTTCAGATGAACTGTCATGACCCAAAAGGTTTGTATTATAGAAATGAATACCAAATTTGATGTGGTTCAACAAAAATAGACCACTATTTACTACTCGGGAGAAGTAATGTTATGTTTTAACCATACAAATCACTGTCATTAACAATGTAAAGGCTTGCATCCTTATCAAGTCGCTTTATTTTTTATCTAAACCATCAATTCCCCTTAACTTATATGAGATGGCTATTTGAGAAAGAAAGCAAGAATGCAGTGAAAAATAATAAGTCATATATATAAGGACAGACAACACGTAACCATCATTGATAAAAAAAGTCATTAGAATAATACATGTACATGGGAAACAAAATATTAAGAACACAAATCCCACTGAAAACCAGAAATGAACTCTGATATTCAGACATTGAACAGTTCACACTGCACTGGTGGCATATTTCATGACATATTATAATATCTTGATAGAACATTTAGATGGAAAGGACATGTTCAAATCTACTGACTAATTACACTAATAGGTGGTTCTGTACTATCAAAATATGGAGGTATTTGGCTATGGATGGTAGAGTCAAATCTACTGACTAATTACATTCCAGGAGAGTAAGATATAGTTATTGGACTTAAACTGTTTAATTTTTATAAGACCAAAAACAAATTTTGCGGTCGTATATTGGTATGATGTAGGCGTCGTCGTCTAAAAACACAGAAAGAAAAAGAAGGGTTTCCTGGTTAATGGACAATTTAAAAGCAGTGTAAGGGAGGTAATCCAAAAACAAAATTGTACAATGTTGTACAATGTTGGATTACCTCCCTTACACTGCTTTTAAATTATCTATTCAAGACTTTTATGATGTATTTAAATGGGTAATTATGGTTGCAAACTCCATTGGTAATTTAAATTGAGATTATGACCATATCTTGAGGGAAAGAATTTTTTTTTTCGAAAAAGGGGGGGGGGGGAATTTTTTCTCATTTCAGATTTCAGAAGTTAAACAAAATTTCTTCACATATTTTTTTTTTTGCAAAAGAAAGGTGGTGGGGGGAGGTCAATACGCAACAGCATAGTGTATTGCATAAAAGCAAAAAAAATGGGTTATTTTTATTTATTTGTTTTTTTTTGGGGGGGGGGGGGTCAATTCGCACAGGCACAGTGTATTGCACAAAAGCAAAAAATTGAATATAAATTCAAATCATATAACCAATTCTAAGTTCTTTGACTACAGTTATTCTGTGTCAGAAACCTATTATGTGTCAAATATTTAATTACAATCCAAATTCAGACCTGTATCAAGTGCGAATATTGTATCCATTTTTGCCCCAACTGTTCAGGGTTGGACCTCTGTGGTCTTATCCAGCTGCCCTCAGTGAAGCGTTTTATTAACATATCACACACATGTTCATGTCTATTTGGATCAATTAACTTCAATTTAAACATTGGTGAATATTTATTTTTATGCCCCTGCCTTAGTGGTGGGGGCATTAATTTTTACCATTGTCCGTCTGTACGTCCTTCCGTACGTCCCATAATTGGTTTCCGTTCTCTAACTTGAGTTTGCCTCAACCGAATGTAATGAAACTTATACACAATGCTTATTACCACAAAACACAGATCAAGTTTGAATTTTGGTGGCGTCACTTTAACTGTTCTAGAATTGTGCCCCTTTATAAATGGAAATATTGCAAAATGTTTAGTTTCCATTCTCTAACTTAAGTTTGCCTCAACCAAATGTTATGAAACTTATACACAATGCTTATTACCAGAAAACACAGATCAAGATTGAATTTTGGTGGCGTCACTTTAACTGTTCTAGAGTTATGCCCCTTTATAAATGGAAAAATTGCAAAATTTTTAGTTTCCGTTCTCTAACTTAAGTTTGCCTCAACAAAATGTTATGAAACTTATACACAATGCTTATTACCACAAAACACAGATCAAGATTGAATTTTGGTGGCATCACTTTAACCGTTCTAGAGTTATGCCCCTTTATAAATGGAAAAATTGCAAAATTTTTATTTTCTTCTAAGTATCAAGTAATTTTTAAAATTAAAGTTATCTTCCTTTGTCCATGATTATAGTTGAATCAACTACAATCAATGCTTTATACAATGCAATGTTTAATTTTGACTTCCACTGATAAAACACAGATCAAGTTGAATTTGGGTAGTGTCACTTTAACCATTATTGAGTTATGCCCCTTTATAAATCGAAAGATTGCAATATTTTTAGTTTCCATTCTGTAACTTAAGTTTGCCCCAACCAAACATTATGAAACCTATACACAATATTCATTACCACAAAACTAAGATCAAGTACAAATTTTTTGTTTCTGTTTTCTAACTTTAGTTTGCCTCAACCAAATGTTATGAAACTTATACACAATGCTTATTACTACATAATACAGATTTAGTACAAAATTTGGTGGCGACACTTTTACCATTCTTGAGTTATGTCCCTTTCTAAATATAAAAATTGCTGAATTTTTCGTTTCCGTTCTCTAACTTTAGTTTGTCTCAACCAAATGTTATAAAACTTATACACAACCGTTCTAGAGTTATGTGTGTTTACAAATAGAAAAATTGCTGAATTTTTAGTTTCTGTTCTATACTTAAGTTAGCCTCAACCAAGTGTTATGAGACTTACACACAATGCTTATTACCACAAAATTTTTGGGTAGCGTCACTTTTACCGTTCTTCAGTACTCTTCAACTGTTTCGGTACTTATACATCCCTCGGATTTCAAATGTTTGGCTTTGAGCGTTCCTGATGAAGGTAAATCCAGAAAAGCGCTTCGGACGCATGAAATTATTAAACGTGTTGTTTTCAATTTTTATGTCCCTTTATAGCTATATGATATGCAAGCGGGGGCATCATCTGCGTCCACATGTGGATACTATCCACATTTATTTTTTTTTAATCATTTTTAGATTTGATTTTCCAAAGTTAAATATAGATTCTTACATTGATACTAGTTGATTATCGGATTTATCCAATCGAGATAGTTAAATTATCAATTTTAAAGTCTGAGCCTTGGCGAGGACTTTAAAATTTATAATTTAACTATCGAGATTGAATAAATCCGATAATTCACAAGTAACTATGTAAGAATCGGTTTCTCTAATGATTAAAAACTACATTTTCATTTTTTGTTAAACCAAAACCCCCTTCGAGTGCCTTCCACCTTTCACAAAGTTGTCAATTTCATTAACACCTGTTAGCATATTTTGAGCTGATAAAGATTATGACCCTTAAATTCATCCAATCATCTTCTGAGATCACTGGCAACCACACGTTGATTAAATTTTTTTATACAATGAGTGCAGAAAGGTATAAATTGTCAAAGAATTAGAGAAAGGACTATATACAATTTATTTCTACCATAGGTCATTATATACCTCCAACAAATTCATACAACATTTGTATCTTGTCATTGTTACAGTAAATGTCATATATTTTTTTATTTAAGATTACATTCGCAACTTTGGCATGTTGAGCTTGAATTAAAAATTATATAAAAATGCATCAAGTAATTTCAGCTCTCTTTTCAGCTGATATATTTATATTTGTGTATTTTTTCAAGATTTTTGTATACAACCTGTAGGTGAAAATAAAAAAAATATACATTTGTTTTACTTCTCTTGGATATATGATTATTTTTAAAATATATATACATTTGTAAAGAATACACATAAAATTATTGAAAAACATCATCTATTTATATAAATGTCCCTCTTTACGAGATTGATGAAACTTCCATATCAGTTCATGTTTGAGAATTATTTATTTATAGAATAGGTAATGATTGGAGATTTGACAGAGTATCAGCCAGAATATACAATTGTACAGTGTATGCATTTGATCCTAGGTAAGACAACTGTTATTTCCAGATTAAGTAACTTTTATATCAACACTTGTGGAGTATACATAATAAGATTATGTAAAAGTCATAATTTACCTGTACTTTGATACCATAGAACTTTAGTTTTGTATTTTAACTTATATGAAGATAAGATGATGTTAGACCCCATTCACACTTGGACAATTCGATCGATTTAAATTAGATCATTTCACTTTAGATCGATTTAAGCCCAATGTGAACACTTTGAATCAGTCTAAACTAAAACACCAAAAGAGGTAGTTTAGTTAGAATCGATATAAAGTGAACTGATCTAACTTTAAATGTGAACGCAGAGATCAATCTAAAGAAGTACGATTGAATCGAAAATTATTTGTGCACATGTATGAAGGCAAAATTACACATGAAATTTATTACAAAATGGATGACCAACATAAAAGGGCTGAAAATTAACGAAAACTATTTGAACAGCAGTATCAACATTTGAACTTGTAACTTCATCCAATTTTTTTCCCTGTGTGTGTATCATTACATTAATTTGATTAAGTATTTCTATTTATATTAAGGATGTCAACAAGTACTCTAGTACTCGAGTATCGCTCGGTAGTACCAAGTATCGAATACCAATATGATACTCGACTAATCGGTGTCTGTTAGAATGTTGTTGCTTTCTTAGGAAAACTATTTTTATTAAGAGCGCCTCCCGGGAAATTAAATGTTAATCAAAATAAAAATGCGTTTCGAATGTTTGCGTTTAATTGTCATTTAAAATTCTCTCAAACAGAGATAGGCTATGAGCAAGAGCACCTTTCTAAGGCTTACACTTTTAGCTAGTCGTGTCTTAGTCATTCCACCACCTCTTTACCGTCAGAGCAAATATTTTCATCAGCAGAACTGTTAGCTACGTTACAAAGTTGAGAAATCGACTCATCCCAGGAAAGTTGAAAAGATAATATTTCTAAATAAGAACAAATTCGTTGCACCCTGTGTCGACACTCAGAGAATGATTATAGCCATCAGTAAGTCCTAATCATGACCCCTTTGTTGATCACTAAATGTGTTTTTACACGATTCACAAATATTGTTGTTTGAGTTTACAGTTTTCTATAGATTTTTATTAATTAATTGATTAGATTATTGTCAGTTTACATAATTAGTGCATGTAACAAATGAGCTATTAATTATGGTATACAATTCCTGGGACTATTATCTAGTTCTATGTAATAATGTTGAGGGTTTTACGTCCTATATAAGACAACAAACGACCCACAATAGGTAAAATGGGTATAATTTTGTGTTTCTATTTTGTAGATGTTTTTTCCGAGCGAGTACTCGAGTATCGCTCGGTAAATCTAACGAGTACTCGATTAGTAAATCTTCACAGAGTTGACATCCCTAATTTATATACAGTGTTTACAATTTCACGGGTCATTAGATCCGATTGCATTTTAACTTATGGGAATGCAGTGGTTCAGATTAGACTGGTAGAGATCGTTAGGATAAAAGATAATGTGAACGCTAACTGGTTTTATTTAGATTGATTAAAAAAAATGCTAGTGTGAACGGGTTCTAAAATGTTCTTCATCTGCATCAGTTGCCTGATTACCAGAAGTAATATGGTGATTCAAAAAAATTCTCATCTTTAGAAATCCTGAACGTCATTAATGAAATGTATATAAAGGAAAGTATTCCCAAATCTTTTTATGAAAGAGTGTTTTTACCTTTTTGAAACCTTTAATATGAAATCCAATCCTAAAATAATTTTTTTAGTTATATATTATGAAGAAAAAAATAAAATAGATGCTATGTTATCATTTGACTGAAAAATGTGACAAGTTGAGTACTTCCAATTTTTGTCCCCTGTGTAACGCGTTGTGGGGACATGGAATGGAAATACCATCTGTCCGTCTGCTTTTGTGTCTGTCCGTCTGGTCTTGTGAGCACTCTCACAATTCTTGCCAAATTTTTATAAAACTTATACTATAGGTTAATATCAGCAATATCTCAGACAAGTTCGATAATGGTGGTAGATCGACTTTTTTTAAAAGAGATTTGCCCCTTGGAAATTTTGAATTTATGGAAAATGGCCTCGTTAGCACTCTAACGGGTACAATTCTTGCCAGATTTTTATTAAACTTATGCTATAGGTTAATATCAGCAAAATGTTGGACAAATTCTATAATGGTGGACGATCGACTTTTTATACGACTGCAAAAATTTTGCAAATGTATATTGGTATCACGTTGTCTTCGTCGTCGTCGTCGTCCGAAGATGCATTGGTTTCCAGGCAATAACTTTTGTTAAGTGTATAGATTTCTGTGAAATTTTACCATAAGGTTTATGACCACAAAAGGAAGGTTTGGATTGATTTTAGGGGTGATGGTCCTAACAGTTCAGGAATTAGGGGCCAAAATGGGGCCCAAATAAGCATTTTTCTAGTTTCCAGACAATAACTTGTGAAATGGTGTATGTATCTCTCTGAAATTATACCACAAGTTACTATATCACAAAGGGATGGCAAGGGCGGATCCAGCCATTTATAAAAGGGGGGGTTCCTAACCCAGGATAAAGGGGGGTTCCATCTTTATGTCCCCCTTCAAATGCATTGATCATAAAAAAAAAGGGGGGTTCCAACCCCCGGAACCCCCCTGGATCCGCCACTGGATGGTAAGAATTTGCTTTGGGGGGTTATGGCTCAAACTGTTTAGGAATAAGGGGCAAAAAAGGGGGAAAAAACAAGGGTTTCCTGGTTAATTGACAATTACTTCAGAACAAAACATAATTTCAAAGCAGTGTAAGGGAGGTAATTCAAACACATATTGTCAAATTACCTCCCTTACACCGCTTGTAAATTATTTATAAAGAAAAGTATTGTCTTTAGGTGATTAGCTGTCAATTTATTTTTAGAAGTTACTATTTTAAAAATGTTTAATAAAGGTAATTTAATTATAGCCATGATTATACATGTATATGTGAAGGAACTTTATTTTTAGATATTACTATTTAATGTTGCTGATGGAGGCTTTTTAATTTTAGGCATGATTATGATGTCATTTTCTATTTTGAAAATTATATAATTTTAGCCATGATTATGTATGTGAAGGAATTTTATTTTTAATATTACTATTTAATGTTGCTGATGAAAGTGTTTTAATTTTAGGCATGATTATGCTATCATTTTCTATTTTAATACTTTTATGATGTATTTAAATGGGTTTTTATGGTTGCAAAGTCCTAGCTGTCAATTTATTTTTAGAAGTTACTTTTAAATGCTGATGAAGGAATTTTATATTTAGATATTACTATTAAAAGTTGCTGATGAAGGTTTTTTAATTTTAGTCATGACTGTGATGTCATTTTCTATTTTAATACTTTTATGATGTATTTAAATGGGCTTTTATGGTTAAAAAAAGCATTTTTCTAGTTTCCAGACAGTAACTTGTGATTAAGTGTATGGATCTCTCTAAAATTGTACTTATAACCGTTCCATACTACAAAGGAAAGACTGCAATTGAGTTTGATGGTTAATGCTAAAAGGGGGATTCAAAAAGTTTGGGGGGAACGGGGGGTTCCAATTTTTTTTTAAAAGGGTTCATATTTTTTTTTCAAAATTTTCAAAATTTCAAATTTTTTAAAAGTTTCAAGAATAAATCTTCAATTGCACAGTATTGCGCATTAGATTTGTAAGATCTTTGACCACATTTATTTTGTGTCATAAACCTATATTATGTCAAAAATTTGATCACAATCCAAATTCAGATAGTATCAAGCTTGAATATTGTGTCCAAATTTGCCTAACCTGTTCAGGGTTCGACCACTGTGGTCGTATCAGGCTGCGCTCAGCGAAGCATTTTATTTTAAAAGAGTTACGACCCTTGGAAATATAAAATTTATGGAAAATGGCCTCGTTAGCGCCCTCACGGGTACAATTTTTTATAAAACTTATAGTATACTGTAAGTAATGCCCTTGAAGGTCTGTTTGAAATATGAAGTATACTATAAAAAAAACATTTTTGTCCCCCTGCACGCTTTTTATTTATAATTGTTTTAAAAAAAAAAAAAATGTGTTTTATTTTTTTTAGTTATTGCCCCTGGATAGATAAAATATGTGCAATGCGGGGGACATTGGAACTCTGTTCTTTTATTAGTATTCAACTACAACATGTACAAGTACCAAATTAATTAATCTCACATTATCATCAGTTGTTGGATTTTAAATAACAAATTAAGAATAAAATATGGTTTATAGTAGATATTTTTAGCTAGCAAGATAATTCCAGCCAGAAGGCACTTATATTTATAGCAATACTTCCTCTATAAATTTTAAGAATAGTTGTCAACTTAGCCAGTACCAGAAAACATGTACCTTTATTGAAACATAAAATCATTGCTTTATTTAAATCCATTCTTCTAGAGTTAGGAAGCACACCCTTCGATCAAAAGTTTCGAAGAGTGCCCAATTGATACTTCCATGAGTAAAATATTGTATTTTCATGAAAAAATTTAAAATGAACTTTACTTTACTTTCATTAACATGTTGCATTTTTCTCTCTGAAGTTCTCACTTGGCACAAAAGAATTTATAAAAAGATATTGTATCAATATTACAATGTATTATAATATAACAAGAGGTTTTAGTCGTGAAACATCTTGCTTACTTGTAGAATGACTTGATTACAAATATTTTTGCAGTATACCAATACCTACTGAGAAATTACATCCCAGAATACACTTTGAACAAGTTGGAATTGGAGGAAGAAACTCTAAGGGATTAAAGACATTTTCCACTATACTGAGAGAACATGGTCATTCTGAAGTAAGTAATGTGACTATTGATAGTGAAGTATTTGTATCATTTGTCTTCTGTTCCAAACTTATATATTTGTTATAACACCTCTTCAGTCCCTATGATTATATGTTTTCATTAGTTCCTATACAAAACCAAAGAGTCTTATTCATCATTGACAATTCCTGGACTGAGTTTTTTTATTGTAAATTTAGAAAAGGTTATTCTGGGATATTTTTTACTCATTTTGTTATTAACAGAAACTTCATTCATCTGCCTCATCTGCCTCAGAGTCAAGGAGAAGATAGCGACCAAGCATAAAAAAAATGAGCGAGTGTGGAGACTAAATTTGGGAAAATCTGCAACTTCCAGGAAACATATATCTTAACAGACTTCTGTCTTCATTAATCATGCCATGAAAATTACTCTCTGCAACAACTTCAAGAAAGCATATACCTAAATAGACTTCAAATTAAATTAACTTCCTGCAACAAAATCTATTTTTTTACCGGCTTTGCCCAAAGCAAAGGATGTCTAGTAACTGCTCGACTCCATTCGTCCGAAAGACCTTGGTTATAAAACTTGGATTCTATGAACGGAATGCTTTTTTTATTGGACTGCAGCTTGATAATGATGAGTTGTAGCGTTTCAGCAATTTTTTCCATCTGCCGTGCAGCCACTTCCTGTTTGATAGTTTGAAATATTACAACACTCATGGTACAAGGACATTTTTTGTCAAAGTTTTCTTGGTCCGTATTGAGGGCTATGATTTTATATTTGGTCGGCAGCCTGTTAATGATGAGTTGTAGGGTGTATCTGGTAAGCAAGTTTTACATCTGCCATGCACAAACTTCCTGCATGTTTGCCAATAGTTTGAAATTTTGCAACACTCATTGTACAAGGCCGTGGGCTGTTTTCTGCTCTTTGGTCGGGTTGTTGTCTCTTTGACACATTCCCCATTTCCATTCTCAATTTTAACCTCAATTAGTTACATGCAGCAATGCTGGTCCAGACTCGGTATTGGTCTTGTTTAATTTAAAACTTGTGTTGCTAGAATGGACCCTTTAGCGTAAAATCACACATAAAAAATGCCATTTATTATTGTCATTACTTACATTACAATACTTATTTGAATACTTTGAATAATATTTTGTAGACTGTAATTGACTACCTAAAGTTTGACATTGAATACATGGAATGGGCTGTACTAGAAAATCTACTGAGGGAAAAGTCATTTAAGAATGTAAAACAGATTGGTTTTGAAATCCATACAAATGAATTTTATCAGCATTTTAAGAAGCTCAAAGATGTAAAATTCAATTCAGGAAAGGATGATTTTCTTTATATGTACCATACAATAAAAAAGTTAGAAGATTATAATTTCAGACAATTTAATTATAGATTAAACCCTTTCGGAGAATATGGTTCTCCTATCACCAGGAAAAAAAGGTCTTGTTGTTATGAATTACATTTTTTGAATATGAATTTTGTGACCCCAAATTACACAACAACGTTAACATAATAAAGATGCAATAATTTTGAGTATTTTTAGAGTTTGGGATGTTGATGTTGTTTGATGTATTATATATCTTTTTACTGAAAGAATACTGAATATTATTAAGGACACAAAATGTATACCTGTTTATGCTATAAGCAACTGTTTATTTGTCTACATTTTTACAGATATAAATACAGTGTTTGTTGTGCATATTAAAAGACTAAAAAACACTAATATGATAGAATTGTAAGATGCTGCATTTGAATTGAAACTCACTATTAAAGTCAAAGGGATCTGACATAAATATTTGACTTATGCAAAGTGAAGAGTAAAATGTTGTTTTCCCAATCAATAGTGGGCTACTATTGTCAAACTGGTATATTTAATGTTGAAAACATGTTTTATGTTTCAATTAATTGGTATTGATTATATAGAAAATGATTTTATCTATATAATAAAAAACGGCCAATTAAACCAAAGATACCAAACACTTATGTTTTCATAGATATACTAGTTGTATTTTTTTTAAATATGGATATATTGAACACATTTTACTTGATGTAATAACAAAATGATTTTTAAAGATCAAGACTGAGAATATTTATTAAAATGAAAGAACCATTGAATTAAAACTAATTTAGTAAAAAAGAGATGAAAAGTTTATTACATATGGTCTTATTGAAATAAGTCCTGTTGGGTGTAAGCATTCTACATTCTTTATATCTGGTTATGTTTAGTCTTAATCTTTTAATTTCTTTTTGCAATTTAAAAAAATGATTTTTTTCATTTTAAACAAATATTTTTCTGCCTTCCTTTAATTTTATTATTGCGAGTTCAACTAAAAAGATGACATCTAACAATTTCAGGGAGAAGCATAAAAAAGGTTGAAATTTATGAAAAAATGAAAAAAATTATAGAAATAGATTCCTCTACTACCTTACATCAGGAACATATATATTGACGGGACTTGACACTACCTGATTGTAGTCGATTTTATCGTCGTGCCATAGTTAATAAAGATACGATACAGAAACGGACATGTGTTAAAAACGGACTCACTATTATCCTAATAATTTCTGATATTATCAATAAAATGTCTTTCAAACTAGTTTTATAGTGATGCTAGTGTATCAAACTTGTATTCTGTCACTTCAAATTTGTTAAAAACGCAAGCATTTCATCACATAATTGTGCAGAATGCAAACAAGGTAATAAAAAAATGGCGGCCATTGCCGCGATGATTTACAAATTCCCAAACTATTATAAAACACTTCACATCAAATAAATCAAACTTATTTTGGTAATTTTATATGACAAAATATATCTACTAAATGATAAAACTTGTATTTATTTACAATTAGAGTTATGTGGTTTATTTGTTGAGAAGTTCTGATAGTTTTTCAGTCAGACGCTACCAAAATCCGTAAATCTCGGGAAGTCTCGGGAGTCTGAGATTTTATCAATTTTAAACTGAAAAGCGTATCAGATTCATTTCCCGTTAGATATACTGTTCCCAGCTTACATGTGATACAAAATTTCTCCACACACATCAAGTAAAATTTAAATATTTAACTGCTTGAGTAGAGAAATATTGTTTAACATTACAGTAAAAGAGAGATTTATTGAAAAAAATAAAAATAACCAGAAATTATGAGATTAAATACCACAAACAAAAGAAAATCTAGTCCTGTAGTATTGATGGTCTGCTTTAAGTTAGTTTAACCATAAAGGTGCTAGTGTATTTAATAACTGTATGATCAGTCTTCCAGTTAGAGATTTAACATTACATACTGTAAAACAACTCATTTTTGCAAGTAGAAAACAAAATCGTAGTGGATATGTGATACTTTGATCTTTGCTTATTTAACTTCATCAAGAATATTTGAAAATCACGAAATTAAATAATCATGAAAGGGCTAGAAACGGCTAAACCCGAAATAAAGTATCAGCAAAAATAATTTAGTTTACAGTGTATTGCTTGTGTTCAGAGTTCAGTATTGTGTTAGTGAGAATATTTTGTTTAAATTCAAATTGAGAATGATGGAAAGTGGTCTTTTTCTTTAGTTATACATGGACAGATTTTATTATATAATGATTTTTTTAAGTTTAAATGTTAAACTTTTATTATTGTATTTTTTAAAACATTTTAATGCATGCATTTCTATTAACTTTTTTTGAATGAATGTTTATTAATATTTAATTTTATATCAAGTTTTAATGTATGGTTGTTTTACTAAATAATTTAATACATATCAAGAATTTTTAGACAGGTCATTATTATTATTATTTTGATATATATTGTACTTAATTTTATTCAGATTTTAACTAGCTAACTCAGAATTTTATTCAGATTTTAACTAGCTAACTCAGATAAAAGGCTGTTGAATTTTAATAAGTTGTTGAATGTTACTTTCATGAAAATGTTGAAAGAGTCATATGCCATATCAGTAGTATCAAGTATTTCTCATTTTGTCTGCATTCTGTTCTTATGATATTGTTTTTAATTGTTAATATTTTATATATTACAAATCTGTAGTTGATATGAGATACTCTTACCAGTAACAGGTTGAGTTACAGATTCCTCTATTGTCAGATGGCTTGATTTGAGAATGGCTATGAAATGGGATTATAATATATAGAAGCGAAATGAGTATGTATGTCTGTATTTGCAATATAATGTATTATGATTAGACTGTGAATTATTTTTCATGCAAGCATATTTAGTGTTTGGTCTATTATTCCCGCTGGAATTTTAAATGTCTCTGCATTTACTGCATATTTTTACCTTTGTGTAAACTGTATCTTAGTTTAAATTCTTTTGATAATTTTTAAGCATAATACAAGAACACAGGGCTGCTAACATTCCAAGATTATAGAGTGAAAACGGGTATTTTTTGCAGTTGTTTCAATTTTCAGATTAGTTTTATCTTTATTATGATGGTGATGATGATTAATTTTCCTTTTATGTTTTTTGTCTTGTCTGCCATGAAAGTCTGAGATATACAGATTTTAATCTGATGGTAAAGGTAAACTATTTGTATTAAGCTTTAATGTTTCAGAGGAAGAAGATCATGATACTTTCATATCTTGTATAAAGGTTACCTTATGTTCTTAAGTTTCTGTTTGGCATATGTTCATTGTCCTTGACCTCAATTTCCTGGTTTAGTGACTGCTTGAAAAAAAACAAGTTTATTTATCAAATGTTTTTCTCACTATTTATGATTTATGGGATAACTAGATTTGGTATATATAATGATTGCAAGGTCAGCATGCCTGTCAGACAGGGTTCACTAAATCTTTACCTCATTTCATGGATCAGTGATCAATATTAAGTTTTCCTATTTATGTAAGCAATAGGATAACTCTACTTTGCCTATGAAATGATTGTAAGATGTACATGTCATTTGGCAGGGTACATTTAACCTTGACCTATTCTTTAAAGGTTTATTGGTAAATGTTTAGTTTTCATGTTGAAGCCAGTCTGTATCTCAGATTAAGCAAGCCAGATATTTCAGTGTGCAATCCTTTTCTGATTATTTTTGTGTCTCTTGTGTTTAATAACTTCATTCTTGGGATTTTGTTCCTATATAAAAGGAGAACAAGACTTTTTTCATAAACTTATTTCTTTAATTTACATTTTTTTGTCATCTTATTTGAAAACTTCATTTAACGAGGTGCTACATTGTGCTGTATAAATAATTCTATTCAGGAATAATGATTCTGCTTTAATAGGCAGTTATAATTTTGATACACTCTAATCCTATTATATTCCTTACCGACTTGATTGTCCTTACATTGGAATGAAATTTGTTTCCATTTTTAGAATACATAAACTATCTTTATCCTGATGAATTTTATTGGACAGTCGTAAACAAGAAAACAAATAATTTTTATTTATCAAATTTTTACATCAGTTACTTTCATAAGATATTTTTGAGTGTTTAGAGAGATTTTTGTTATGAACAAAATATAAACATAAATTAAAGGTACCTTTTAATGATATGGGATTCTTTTTCATAAATCTTATAAAAAATATGTTTGTATAATTTAAATTTTTGCTGTAAATATTGCATAATTTGATAGTTTAATTTTAGCTTGTTTTTTGTTTAATAAAATATCATTTCTTAAAACTCACTAGCAATAAATAAATATTCTCAACCTGTACTAAAATACTTTGCATAATTTGGTAAAATATGGCATTACCATACATGTACCAAACTTTAAAATAAATTTAGGGACATTCTTTAATTCAAACAAAATTTTTAAGGATTACTTAAGGGTACCATATATAACACCATTATATTTTCTAGAACATTATCTTTAAAATACCAAAAAAATGATTTTGATGAATTTAATTTATTTGAATAATAAGTTGAAAAATAGTTATTTTCCAAACATTTTTCATTATGACAAATCATGTGGTCATATGTTGCTATGATGTATATACATGAACATTATTTTTTAAAACTGAGAAAAATATCATTCTGCTGGAAATACAGTTTTCCTTATTGTTCTTAACAAATTTGGCAGTAATGTCAGGGTAATTAATATTATATGACCTTCATTTTGAATTTAAATATCCATTAATGGATCTTTCTGCCATTTCAAATCTTATCTTGCACTCCTTTAATTTATCTGTTCCTCTGAGATTTCTAACTCTATTAAATCGAGCTTGTAATCCAGAAGCTGATGTCAGTTGTCAATTGCCATAATTGTTTTTCAATAAATGCTATCAGTCTGAAATAGGCTGTTGGCTTTATCTTTGTATTGTTTCACATTTTATTAGCCAAGGGCCTTTTATATGGATTTTATTCATTGTCTAAGGCACTACAGTGACCAGTTGTTGTAACCTCTTTGTCATTTGGTTTTTGATGGATATTTTGTTTTCCCTTTTTAAAAGTGTTTAGAAATTTAGTAGAATACATGTCATATTCTAAATTACTGAATTTAGTTATGCCCCTTTTTTCATAACAAACACTGTTATTATTTTTCTTTAACATACTATTTGAATTTTTCATAAAGCATAAAAGAATAAGATCATGATAATAAATTACAACTAATTTTGTAATTTCGGAAAGAAATAAAATATCATAATGTCAATTTTAAAACAAATAACTTGTTGTTTGGAAATATGTAGTAAGTTTTGAGGAACATAAAAGAAGGTGCAAATCATCTAATGTTTACAATTTTAACCTTGGTTTTTTTTTCTCTCAAACTCATGTATATTAAGATATACAGATCACCTATATCTATATCTTTATCTATAACTTTTACTAAATATAATTTGAATGTGTAAAAGTTTATTACTCATATTAAAACTACTGTGTTGTATAACAATACAAAATCACAAAATTTCATAATCAAATGCCGGAAAATGTGGTAATGAAATTAACTCCTAATTTGTCCTGATTTAAATTGTTTTGTATGCTAATGTTTGTGAATGCATTTATTTTGTGAGACATACCATATATTGTTTATATTTATATATGTAAATGGATTGTTATCTTTAAGAAATACAGAATTTAAAAAGCAAAATTATTGTTTTCATTTTTTGCATTTTATTAGAAATTAGCTACATCTATGCTATTAAAACCAAGTGTACAGTTATCATCACAGGGTATTCAACTTAACAATCTATTGAATAAGACTTTTGAAAAGAGCTGATCTTTAAGAAAAAAAATTAAATTTCATTCATTTAAAAAAAAAAAAAAACTAAAGTCTCACAGGTGCCTGAATCAGTAACCT